GCTCTTGCAAGTTGCCCTCCCCTTGTTCTCTTGCCCTGGCTGGAAGAGAACTGAGTGGGGGTGGCCCCGGGAAGTGGGAGCTGGCGATCCCTCCCTCTGCTTAGAATTCTTTCCTACCAGAAGTGGCCCTGGAGAAACCTGGCCCCCTGCACTGAGCCACAGGCCTGAACAATCTAAGACCTGTTCCTCCCCAACTGCCCCAGGCCATAAGGACCAGCACCTGGAATGGGGAATGGGGATTAGGGAACGAGGAGTGGTCCTGGAGGATGCTAGGCTGACGGTGGGAGGGGGGAACATTCAGTCCCATGGGTGTGGCTGCTGACCAGCTTCCCCATTACAGGGAAAGTCAAATTAGACTCACTACAGCCCCTTATGGCGTTTAGCCCATAACGTGGCCCAGAGCACAAGCGTTGTCCTTGGTGTCTGCCCTTTCTTCTCCTGAGCCTTATCTACCAAAGGCATAGGGGGGTAAAGGCCTTGTCACTTCTGAAGGCCACCCTGCCTCCAGCCCGCAGTACCCAGTGTGCTCTGCAGGCTGGATAAATATGTATTGCTGATGACAGTGTTTGAGGAAGGAGGTCGAGATTTGCTTCCCCAGAGGACTTCTGGGATTAGAGCTGGGGGAGAGACAGGGTGACCTCATTCGCTCATTCATTCAACAAATATTTATTGAGCACCTACTTGGTGCAGGTGCCTTGTAATCTGGAGACCTGTGTTGTCAAGAATCTCCCCCAGGGCTTCTGAAAGCAAGTGGAAGACTAGAGGATCGGGCTGCTGCCGGGTCCCCAGGAATCCCCCGTTGGGATCACTCCTGCCCACCTCGACGGGGTGAAATCCTTGCAGCTGTGGTGCCTCGGTTTCCTTGCTGAAGCTCAGAGCACCTCACCATCATCTCGTGAGCATCCATCCATTCATAAAGCTGTTACTTAGTGCAGCGTGCTGGGCTCCGTCTCCACAGCAGGCTTCCAAGGCGGGTGTGGTTGCCCTGGTAAGACCGTGAACCCCACAAACAGAGGCTCAGTTCAGCTAGCTGCTGTGACTCATCGCCCTCTCAGCCAGAGTTAAAATTCACATCACGGTTCTTTCCGCCCAGGTCTTCTGCCCGCGTGTTTGCAAAAAGTACTTTTAGTTCCACTATCTCATTTAGTGCCCAAAGTGGGTGCCACCCCTTCCTGACCCTGTCTGGGGGAATGAATGCTCTGGGCCCGGGGTCTTGGAGACAGGGGGAGCTGGGACATTAGGAAGAATAGTGCCCCCCTGGGGACTTGTGGAGGTGGGGCCAAGATCTGTGCCTTTAAGCCAGCAGCCCAGGTGGCCAACTGGGCTAGGCTGGTGACCCAGTCAGGGTGGGGCTGGTGCTGCCCTGGGAGAAGGGAGAAACCATGGGCAACCGGAAGGGAGGGGGAGGTCTCATACTCCACCCCCCTGAGTCACGGCCATCCCAGGCAGCCTGGGTGCAGGGGGCAAGGTGCCAGGCTGCAGGCACAGTGACCTGAAGTTTGCCACATTTCTTCCCTCCTCCCCCAGCCTCGGAGGGACAGCGCTGGGCCAGGTATAGCTCCTGTGAGGGGGATCCTTGCAGGGCTTCTGCCTCTACCAGTCTCTGTTTGCCTTTCTGTAGAGTGGGTTTCAGGCAGGGCAGGGAGAGTCAGGAGTGACCCTCTGGAGCCTCGCAGGGCTCAGAGGCTTTGAAGAGGCAGTGGAGGTTTGGGCTGGCGCTGTCTGGTCTCCGTGAATGGGGAAACCATGGACTTCTGCTGGCAGAAGGGTTGGAGTTAAACGCCTCCAGGTGTACTCTGCTCCCCTGAGTCCCAAGTCCCAGGGAATGCCTTTCTGAAATAATATTTTTTTTTTTTTTTTTTTT